CTGGTAGACTGAGGCTCTACCCTCGTTATGGCATCTGGAGAAGGTTATTCATCCTCTCTCACACTTCTTCACAGCTCAGGGGAAAGTACTTGGCCTAAGTCAACCAACTGGAAGGCTCCCAACTGGACTTTGAATCTTGAACAAGTGAAAACAAGACCCAGGGAGAGTTCATGATATAATCATTGCACCTGCAGCCCATGGGGGGGGGGGGGCAGGTGGCTGTGCTAACAGGGAAATCCTCATCAGTAGGTTCCAGTGGTGTGACTGGTGTAGCTCAGTGTCACATCAGCCACATGTTTCTACTTCCTGGCATTTCTTGGTTCCCACCCCTTTCAAAGGAAAGTACAAGACAAGCCCAAAACATTTTGTAGTGTTAGAAAGTAAAAAAGTGCTCAAAGAATGATGGAAACATGTCAAAAGGACACAGAAATCATCCTAAAAAAATGCCCACTGAGCAAAGCTGGGACATATTTCAGCATCAAAATAAATAACGATAGTAATGGATTATAACCCATTGACTGAAATAGAAAATGATGTAAATAATACATATGTAAAGGAATGTAAGAAGAGAAAGCACCTTTTCACAGTAGCCTGCCCACTAATAATACATGTAGATGCAATAATGGAAGTAGAAAGATTACACTGGCAATTATTATAGTACTGCTGACTCATAGAGTATTTGTCAATGGATACTAAGCCTGGTGGGTGGAGGTTTGGTGGGGAACAGGATTATCAGAGTAGTTTCAAAGTATTTCCCCAGAAAATAACTCATTAATTATAAAAGTGAAAAATGGCAACTTTACAGTGGAGAACACTAACAGACACCACCTTGAGCAGGTGATCAAGATTAGCATCATCGGTAGTGAGGCAGGCTGACATCATGTGCCTCCTGATGTGATACACTGAGAAGAACACAGTGCAGTCTTTTTTGTATAGTATTCCTGCCAACAATTATGAATCAAGACATGAGGAAACACCAGATGGATCCAGGTTGAGGGACATCAGGAATCAAAGGCCTATACTCTGTTTTTTAAAGATTGCATTTTGAGGGTGCCTGTTGACTCAGTTGGTTAAGCATCTGACTCTTAGTTTTGGTTCAGGTCATGATCTCATGGTTTGTGGGTTCGAGCCCTGCATCAGGCTCCATACTGACAATGCTGGAGCCTGCTTGGGATTCTCTTTCTCCCTTCTCCCCCACTCTGTCTGCCCTTCCCTCACTTGTGCACGCATGCTCTTTCTCTCAAAAATAATTACACTTGGGGCACCTGGTGGCTCAGTTGGTTAAGCAACCAGCTCTTGATTTCAGCTCAGGTCATGATCTTGCAGTTCATGAGTTTGAGCCCCGCGGTGGTCTCCTTGCTAACAGCATAGAGCATGGTTGGGATTTTCTCTCTCTGCTCCTCTCCTGCTCATGCACACTCTCTCTCTCTTAAAATAAGTAAACAAGCATTTACAATTTTTTATGTTTTTAAGTAATCTCTACGCCCAGTGTGGGGCTCGAATTTACAACTCTGAGGTCGAGTCACATGCTCTACCAAATGGGCCTGAGCCAGTCAAGAGCCCCCAAAGGTCTGTACTCTTTTTTTAAATGTTTATTTATTTTTGAGAGAGACAGAGTGCGAGCTGGGGAGAGGCAGAGGCAGAGGGAGACACAGAATCCATATCAGGCTCCAAGCTCTGAGCTATCAGCACAGAGCCCGAAGCAGGGCTTGGACCCACGAACCCTGAGATCATGACCTGAGCCAAAGTTGGACGCTTAATCGGCTGAGCCACCAGGTGTCACAGATTTGTACTCTTTATTTAAAGTTGTCAAGATCATGAAAGATAGGGAACAAGTGTAGAAATGTTCCAGATTCAAGTAAATCAAAGATATGATAAGAGAATGTAATGCATGATTCTGGATTTGGATCCTGGGCTAGAAAGGAAAGGAAGACATTGGGCAGCGGTCAAACTTGAATGCCCTCTGTGGATTGGATGGTCATGTTCTATCAACGTTAATTTCCTGATTGGGAGGGTTGCAAAAAGGTTATAAGAACAGAGTACTTATTTTGAGGAAATATTTTAAGGGTGAAATGGCAACATGTCTGCAACTTTGTCTCAGATCAGAAAAATAAGTAACGATAATGAGGGGGAGGGGTAATGATGAATGTTAATAATTGCAGAATCTGATTTCAGGAACTGAGAGAGTCCTTTTTGTTCTCTTCCTGCAACTTTTCTGTATGTTTGCTATTATTTCAAAATAAAAAAATATTTTAAAAATAAGGCTAAGAACTCTTTCAGAAGAACAAAGTTCTTCCTTTTAGCTTACAAAGATGCTTAAATCTCTTCTAAACAAAGCAAAACCAAACCAAAACAAAATAACGAAGCTATTGGCTACCTGCTGTTGCCATTTGCTCCCTGCTGGGCATCAGGATGTTGAGGAAACACCACTCGGCCTGGTGTCAGGAAGCCGCTGTTGGAGGTTGGCTCAACACTCCCTAACTATGTGACTTTGGCCAAATCATTTAACCTCTCTGAGCCTCAGTTTCTTCATGAGGGAACAGTAGTACCTCTTACAGAGCTGCCGTGGAGATCAAGGGAGAGAAGGGATGTGAAAGCAGGTTATAAACTATACTGTGCTTAACAAATACTAAGTGAGGTGATCCCTCACTTTAACTCCTGGTGATACAGGACTATTGCCTTCACATCTGCTAGAATGCATCCCCTTCTAGGAGTTCAGCCTGCCCTCTGCAGGACTACACATAACTGATCACAGCCTTCATCTGCTGAAGTGTCCCTTTCTTGCCTTCTTTTGACCTCTTCTCCTCAACTCTGCCTGGCCACTCTCTGCCTGCCTGTCCAGGACAGGTGCTCACTCAGATCTGTTCCTGGTCTTTTCCTCTTCATCTGCTTGTTCATTCTGGAATGTCTGTCTATTCCCATACTTTGGGGGGCACCTCTGTTTCTATGCTGATGACACCCCTACTCACACCTTTTGCACTGGCTTCTCCTGTCAGCATTTCATCTCTATCTGGGCATTCACTCAGGCACTTCAAATTCACCTTTGACAACACTGATTCTCATACTTGCTTCACTTTCTATGCTCGCTTTCTATTTTAAACACCACGTTCCCTCTAAATACTTGGGCCAGAAATGCAGGCCTCAATTATTGTTGTTGTTATTTGTTTATTGAACACCTACTATTTTCCAGGTACTTTGCATTCTTGATTTGCTTTTATTCCTTGAAAGAGCCCTCTAAAGTAGATCCTACTTCATTCCTTCTTACAAAACTGAAATCTAGGGTTCAGAGAGCTTAAATAACTTTTTAGTTCAAGGTTATACAGCCAATAAATAGTGGAACCGGGTTTTTATAATAGGATTGTCTGACTCCAAAGTCCATTCTGTTAATCTTAATCGTTATACAACATTGACTTCTTCCTGAATTCTCACATATTTCATTGATTCCTTTTAATTTTGTCACTGAAATGTCTCTTGAATCAGTTTTTTCTTTGTTCCCTGATGCTACCTTGTTCAGACACACATCTTGTACGTACTTAAACATACTCATATAGGTGGTACATTTTTCTAATTATAAATATGATATATACTGGCTGTAAGAAAATTCATCACAGATCTAACTAGTAGAAGTTCCTCAACCCCAACTTCTAAAGATAACCACAATTAAGGTGTAGTATGCATTCCTCATTTTTTCCCTACATATATAGAAACATATTACACTTTTGAAATGGTATCACATCCTATTGAAACTCACCTTTATTATTTCATATAAGAAATACTTTGTTGTTCTTTTTAAAAAAGTATTTATCTTTTTACTTAAAAATTGTTTACTTATGGGGCGCCTGGGTGGCTTAGTCGGTTGAGCGTCCGACTTTCGCTTAGGTCATGATCTCGCGGTTCGTGGGTTCGAGCCCCGCGTCGGGCTCTGTGCTGACTGCCAGCTCGGAGCCTGGAGCCTATTTCAGAGTCTGTATCTCCCTCTCTCTCTGACCCTCCCCTGCTCACGCTGTCTCTCTCTCTCTCTCTCTCCTAGAAATAAATAAAAATATTAAAAAAAAATTTTTTTTAACGTTTTTATTTATTATTGAGAGACAGAGAAAGAGCATGAGCATGGGAGGGGCAGAAAGAAGGTGAGACACAGAATCTGAAGTAGGCTCCAGGCTCTCAGCTGTCAGCACAGAACCCAACAGGGGGGCTGGAACTCATAAGCGGTGAGATCATGACCTGAGCAGAAGTCAGACGCTTAACTGAGCCACCCAGGCGCCCTCTCTTTTATTAATTAGGTAAAATAGACACATATTTTTTACAAAGTTCAAAACGCACAAAAAAAATGTATATTATGAAAAATAAGACTCTCTTCACCCTTGTTCCTCAGTCACCATCAGAATTAATGTCACTAGTTTCTTGGGAGCATTCAGAGGCCTCATTCCTTTGAATAGTAGCATAGCTGTCCATTGTATGGATGTACCCAATCCATGCACCTAATTATTTTGGTGTTTCATTAGAGGGACACTGAGATGGTCTCCAATGCTATTACCCATTAGGATCTAAATTCCATGTCAATCTTATCAATTACTTATCCCTCTTAATTTTTGTTAGCAATAAAGTGTTCCAGATTGTATAGATGCACCATAATTCATTCATCCATTTCTCTACTGATGAGAATTTAGGCTTAAATACAGTTTGCTCTGCTCCTAGGGCACCTGTCCTATTAAGGACTTCTGCCATTTGCCGGCAACATAGTTTCTTACGTACTCCTCCGGTGCGCTTTGAGCTCCTCCAAAGCAGGGGAAGTGTTCATGTTCATCTTTGTTTGGTCCCATGTTTGGTCCAGAGTACACGCTCACTACGTTTAGGTACAATAACAATTGAATCGCCCGCGCTGAGTGCTGGAATGGAGTGTGGGGAGGCGAAGCGAGGGCAAAGCCGTGCCTCTTTAAGCTGTCCCGGCCTCAGAGGGCCCGGAACTTTTTGTTAGACTTTTCATTGTTTCTCAGGGAGGATTTTTAGCCACTGAGCGTGCCCCGCACAAGCATGGTTTTTCCGTACCGGAAGTAGCCTGTTATTTTGAGAGAGTCAGTTCTTCCGCGGGGCGGAAAAGGCAATTAAGCATGTGTTCCTATCATTTCCAGTCCCCTTTCCTTGCAGGATCCTATGAGTAAGCTGTGGCGGCGCGGGAGCACCTCTGGGGCTATGGAAGCCCCTGAACCAGGTAGGCGCGGGTCGGTAAAGCAAGTTAGGCGTCCTCAGAAAAGGAGTCCCTTTTTTGCTCTTCCAAGCGTCCGGGGTACTTAGCCACAGGTGGGAAGGAGAAAGGCGGAGCTGTTGTTATGGTAACAGCGTGTACCGCGGGAAGAGTGTGGCCCTTCGGGGGTATCGGGTTCTTCAAGGCTTTCTCTGTCCCGCCGTTGTGGTCCGCCGTTGACAGGCTCTCCTTACGCAGGGGAAGCGCTGGAATTGAGTCTGGCGGGTGCCCACGGCCATGGAGTGCACAAGAAAAAGCACAAGAAGCACAAGAAAAAACACAAGAAGAAACACCATCAGGAAGAGGAGGCTGGGCCGACGCAGCCGTCACCTGCCAAGCCCCAGCTTAAACTCAAAATCAAGCTGGGTGGGCAGGTCCTGGGCACCAAGAGGTGAGGCCAAGAAAGCCAAGGTTTTACTTGGGGAATTTTAGGAGTAGGCAGAGAAAGAAGCAGCTCTCTGGGCTTTCCAGTAGAAGAGAATGGACTCTGATTTCGGGGCCGACGTTAAGGTAGCTGGAACCCAAGAGTGTGCAGGGGAGGGCTGGGTATAACCACCAAGCAAGAGGAGACAACTGCTCAGCTTACACAGTGGTGCTTTTCTACAGTGTTCCTACCTTTACTGTGATACCTGAAGGTCCACGATCACCCTCTCCCCTTATGGTTGTTGACAATGAAGAGGAACCTATGGAAGGAGTCCCCCTTGAGCAGTACCGTGCCTGGCTGGGTGAGAAGGATCTGGAGGTGGGGAAACTGGGTTTTTCACTATACCTGGTAAAAGGAAGAGGGCTGGTTTTGAGGATGGTGAGAATTTTGAGTGTCCCCATTTAACTTGGCCAAATTAGGGTTCCCCATCTGAACAATTTTACTTTTAGCTCTCCAACTTTGCTTTCCAGATGAAGACAGTAATCTATCACCCTCCCCACTTCGGGACCTGTCAGGGGGCTTAGGGGGTCAAGAGGAAGAGGAGGAACAGAGGTGGCTGGATGCCCTGGAGAAGGGAGAGCTGGATGACAATGGAGATCTCAAGAAGGAGATCAATGAACGGCTGCTCACTGCTCGACAGGTAAGTCGGTTCATTCTTTATCCACTTGCTAAATATGTATTGAGAATTTTCCATGTCCCAAGAATGTTGCTAGACAGTGGGGATATCAGTGGTGGAAAAAAAAGACAGAAAAGGTTTCAGTTCTCATGGAGCTGGTATTCTTGTGTGTCTGTGTTTGGGGGAGAGGGGTAAGTAAATAAATAATTTTGAAGAGCATGATTTATAGCAAAACTAGGGCAATGAAATAGAAAGTCGTGGAAAAGAGATGTTAGATAGTGTAGTCAGGGAAGACCCCTCTGAAGAGATTACATTTCCAATACCAGAGGTGCTTTTCAGGCAGAGACCAGCAGGTGCAAAGACCCTGAGAGTGGAACATGCCTAGTACTGGTCAAGGAGGAAAATAAGTGTGACTAAGCCATGAGAGGATTGTTTGCAGGAAAGTGATACATTTGAGTTCTATTTTGGTAGATTACTTTGGCTTCTTAGTGGAGGTAAAGAGTAAAAAAGGAAGATCTACCAGGAAGCTGTTGGGGAGTGGCTTGAACCAAGGTGAAATTGTGGAGGAGGAAATCAGATGGATTCTGGATATATTTTGGAAGTAGATGCCTGTTAGGAGTCAGGGAGGGGTAGAGAAGAGGAGTCAAGGGAAACCTTGAGTTTTGGGCTTGAGCAGTTATCCAGTTGATGGTCTCCCCTGAGATGAAAAGATTTAAAACAGCAAAAAACAAAACAAAACAAAAAACCCTGGAGAGGTGGTAAACAGAGTTTGGGGGAAGGCAGGAAATATTAATGCTTTTCTTCTTGAGAGTCAAGGATCTAGAGACGAAAGTCTGGGGATCTGGGAGGAGGCAGTACTAAAAGGCACCTGGAGAGGTGCCCATTCCACCTCTTCTCTCAAGTCCAGCGCTCCTCAAGACCCTGCTTTCGCCTTCCCTCGTTCGTTCAGAACACCTCTCTCTGACACCCCCTCCGTCTGTTTCTCCCCAGCGAGCTCTGCTCCAGAAGGCGCGGAGTCAGCCTTCCCCGATGCTGCCACTACCTGTGGCTGGGGGCTGCCCTGCTCCGGCCCTCACCGAGGAGATGCTGCTGAAGCGCGAGGAGAGGGCGAGGAAGAGACGGCTGCAGGCTGCTCGGCGGGCGGAGGAGCACAAGAATCAGACTATCGAGCGTCTCACTAAGACTGCGGCGCCCAGCGGGCGGGGAGGCCGAGGGGCAGCTCGGGGCGAGCGGCGGGGCGGGCGGGCAGTGGCCCCGGCGCCCATGGTGCGCTACAGCAGCGGGGCACAGGGTTCCACCCTCTCCTTCCCCGCCGGCGTTCCCGTCCCCGCGCCACTGTCTCAACGGCCATCCCCATCTGGCCCTCCTCCTCGATGCTCTGTCCCGGGCTGCCCCCACCCGCGCCGCTACGCCTGCTCCCGCACCGGCCAGGCACTCTGCAGCCTTCAGTGCTACCGCATCAACCTGCAGATGCGGCTTGGAGGGCCCGAGGGTCCCGGATCCCCGCTTTTGGCTACTTAAGATCCATACTTAACCCGGACTCTGCGCCCTCTCCCCTGCCCCCGTTTTCATTATTTTCTCCACCCTATTAAATTTCATCCGGTGCCTCAACTTGTACAGAATTGGGGGAATGGGGTATGGGCCGGTCAATTCCCCCCACACACGTTGCCCTCTCGAGAGCTTGCATCGAGCCCCAGGAAACGACCACTGGGCCAAAAGAAGGCTGACCGCTCTGCCCCTAAACTTGGGCGGACTTTTGGTCCTCTCCCCCGCCCTTTCTATCGGAATTACCTGGCTTGGTTGAGGCTTTGGCGTCATCCCGAAAATAGCGCTCAAGCCAATCAGCAGGAACTTTGCTTCTCTGGACGGCCGTTCATTGGTTGATAGCGCGGAGCCCGTTCTGTTGTCCATATTGGCTATTGTCGCTGTCAGTCAGGGCCATGGGTCGAACCTTACCCCACTCTTTGTCTGTGTAAGCTCTTGTCGTCTGGGAGAGTGGCGGAGGCGCCGCTGTACATTGGTCACTGGGAGAAACCTCTGGTCCGTTCTTATTGGCCTGTCCGCCGGCGGGCGTTGCTGATTGGTAGGACCGAGCAATCTGGGTCCTAGTTGGCAGCGCTCTCTCCGGATGGAAGCTCCGGCCGCGGAGTGATGGTGGCGGCAGCGAAGATGGGCCGGGCAGGGACCATGGCAGAGGTGGCAGGGGCGGGGCGCCTGGCGATAGAGGAGGCTGTGGTCTACAGGGGGCTGTAGGTGGAGGCATGGCTCAGGCCAGCAGCAGGAACGGCAGCGAGGAGACCTGGGGGGCACTTCGGGTGCCGCAACAGCAGGTATCCCAACTGCTCCAAAAGCCTATCACGACAGCCATTTATTTCTCTTTCCCCTTTCCTTGTCCCTTCCTTTTGCGGGGTTGGGGAGGAACTCACGTAGCCAAAGGTACTGTGAAGTTCCTAAATATGTCCCTTCTACTCTTTGTCTAAACTTTGTAACGTAGATGCAGTTGACTTTGCCTGCAGCTTCTTAGACCCCATCCCACGGCTGCAGTGGAAGCTTGCAGTGGCTCTCCAGTGACCAAAGGCATAGTGAGGCTCAGGGAAGCTCCCTCTGTCTTGCAACAGTTATTTGTGATGTTTTTCTGTGTGCCTGTTGTCACAACAGAGTCCGGCAGCGTCTTCTCTTGAGGGAGCAATTTGGAGAAGAGCTGGAACCCAGACTCGCGCCTTGGATGCCATCCTTTATCATCCACAGCAATCCCATCTGGTTGGGAGCACTGCTCTGGGTCTCATATGGCCCTTCCTCTACCCTAGGAAGCCTGAAACCCAAGGGTGGAGAGATCCAGCTTGGGGGTGGGGAGGCAGGCCAGGGGAGGATAATGAAAGCATCTTAACATTGGAAATTACCTTAAACCCCTTACCCATTGTCTGAGACTTTGAGATGGCTCAGACTGCCCTCTGGCTTCTGCCCAGATACTCTGTTAACAGAAAAGACCCTGGGGAGCCAGCCTGAGTGTGAGAGAAGTCTCCTATACGCAGAACTGAAATCTGCCTCTTTGTATGTCCACACTGTACATTTAGTTCTCTAGACAGATTCTTGCTGTTCCAAATCCCTTCATGTCGACAGCCCTTCTGACATTTGAACACTCCTCTCTCCATCACTCTTAACCCTCCGCACAGGTCTCTCTGAGCTCAGTTTGGTTCACAGGGTGGGACTGTGTCCGTGCATGCAGCAGGGTGGGGGTGGACACTGCCTGGGGCTGGAATCTCCCTTGGTTCTAAGTACCTCCTTGCTCCCAGCTTCGAGAGCTGTGCCCAGGAGTGAACAACCAGCCCTACCTCTGTGAGAGTGGTCACTGCTGCGGGGAGACAGGCTGCTGCACCTACTACTATGAGCTCTGGTGTGAGTCTCCAAGGGGGCTATTCTCGGGTCCTTCTGCCCACCTGCCCTTGGGCCTCAAAATTCCAGTCTTCATGGACCTTTCTCTGCGTGGGAAGTATCTAAGACCCACCCTCACCCCTTGCAGGGTTCTGGCTGCTCTGGACTGTCCTCATCCTCTTTAGCTGCTGTTGCGCCTTCCGTCATCGACGAGCTAAACTCCGGCTGCAGCAACAGCAGCGGCAGCGTGAGATCAACTTGTTGGCCTACCATGGGGCATGCCATGGGGCTGGCCCTGTCCCTTCCGGTTCACTACTTGACCTTCGTGAGTGACTTGAGGCTCTGGACTCACTACTGGTGGCCCCTCCCAACCCAGAACCCCAAATCATCCCCACATTCCCTGTATAGACATTTCAAAGCACACTTTTCCTAATAGCAAAAATACTACTACCCCACTGCTGGTTGCCCCACCAACCATGCCATTCTTTCCTGCAGGCCTTCTCAGCGCCTTCAAACCCCCAGCCTATGAGGATGTGGTTCACCGCCCTGGCACACCGCCGCCTCCTTACACTGCAGCCTCAGGCTGCCCCTTGACTGCTTCCAGTGAACGTACCTGCTGCTCCTCTGCTTCTAGCTGCCCTGCCCACTGCGAGGGAACAAATGTGGAAGGTGTTTCCTCCCACCAGAGTGGCCCCCCTCATCAAGACGATGAGCCTGGGGCAGGGGCGAGCCCTGCCCCCACTCCCCCTTCCTGCCGTTATCGCCGCCTGACTGGTGACTCAGGTATTGAGCTCTGCCCTTGTCCTGACTCCAGTGAGGGCGAGCCAGTCAAGGAGGCTAGGGCTAGTGCCACCCCACCAGATTTGGAGGACCCTTGTATGCTGCCCCTTGATCCTGTACCCCAGGTCTCTCCTGTGGGGCTCGCTTCCAGTGAAGGGGACGTCCCATAATCAGTTTTGGGAGGGTGGGTGGATTACTTGCCCACCAGAAACAGCCCTGGGCCCAACTCCTTGAGTTCTCCTTGGCCTCTCCCTGCCTCCTCTAATCTGCCTGAAAGGGGTGGAGTCCTGAGGAGAGTGGCAGCATTTGGGGGACTGTGCTAGCTCTACCCCCCTAAAACATACACAGGAGCCTTTGATCTCATTAAAGAGATGTGAACCAGCTGCTTGTGAATTTGGGTGGACTAGTGCTGAAATTGCTGCTTCGCACTTGACCTGACTGGATTTAAGGGGATAAGAAATGACCACTTTTCCCAACTTCTCTGAAGAAAAGCAGGCAGCTCTAAGGTCTGGACTGAGCTAAGACTTCTTGGTGAGGCAAAACTGGCAAAAGCAATAGAGTCTGGCATGGTTTTCCAATTTATTTAGAAAAATAGACTCTGAATTCACATTCACCCCAGGGCTATGTGGGATGACAAGAAGGAGACACCTGAGATGGGCTGAGGAAAGTTTGAAGCACTAGCATCTGAGGGCTGGGGGCAGAAGCTAGGGACCTGGTCTCTTTAGTCCAGAGTGGGGGCCTGGCTCCCCTTCATCCTCCCCGTTCAGTAGTCTTCAGCCATGGCCAGTAGGACAAGGCTGGTCCAGCCTTGGAAAGGGCGGCAGCCCATACCCCGCCCATCCCGGTCACTGTACTGCTCCCAAAGGAAACCTGTGGCCTGGTACTGCCGCCACACATTGCCTACCACATTGGCACGGAGCTCACTGTAGAGCTTGGCAGCCCGGGCCTGATGAAGACCTTCTAGATGACCATAGTGGTAGAGAGCCCCTAAGGCTAGGTAGTTAACATTGAGCCACACAGCACCCCGCCAGTAGGGAGGATCATGCTCTGAATTGCGCTGGCCATAAAAGGAGCTGGAGGCTGTGAGGGAGCGCAAACCAAAGGGGCTCCAGAGATGGCGGCTGTCAGCCAGAACATCTAGCAGGGGCCCCAGGCGGGATGAGTTGGGGTCCAGCAGCCGCAGCAGCATGGGAAAAAGACTGACATAGCCCAGGGCATCCACATACTGTAACCGAGGGTGGGGCCGGCCCACTACCCGCACCAGCCCCTGGGGGGGCCGAGGCTTCAGCTGCACTGCTTTTGTGTGGTTCCCAAAGTCTGCAAAGACTCCTAGCTCTGGGGCCCAGTGCAGCTCATCCAGGCTCTCCTCTGCCTCTAGTGAGGCAGCCAGTGGACCCAGCTCCGCAACTGCCTCAGTCTCTCCCAGCTGTTCTGCCAGCCGCGCCAGCACACGGGCACCCAGTGCCACCCAGCACCGCAGGTCAAGGTGCCGCTCACTGGCTGAAGGGTGTGAAGCTCGGGGATAGTCATCCAGCCCTGAAGGCAATGTCTTAGGGTTCAACAGGGTTGGCAAGGCGGGATCCCGGCCCCGCCAGCGGTAAGATAGTGGCACTGGCCCTGCCTGGCTCTTATAGAGCCAGGAGAACCAGGCATGCAGACGGGGGAAGGCCCTGCGGAGGAAGGCAAAGTCAGCAGGGTCGCCACCCTCTAGCATGTGGGCTACAGGCAAAAGCAGGGTTGGGGGGTTGGCATGGGCTGCCCGTTGCACCAGGAATTCTGGGGGCACCCGGGCTCGGGCCTCATCTCCTAGTACCTGCTCCCTTCCAATCCAGCCATCAGCATTGAGCAGCCCCAGCCAGTGGCCTAGGGCCTCCCGGGTAAGGCGGGGATCCCACCGCTGTACCAGCAGCTGGTGAAAGCCCTCATCCCAGAGGAAACCTCGTGGGAAGAATGACCGGGAGGGCACTGCTGTGAAAAGAGGGACAGGTGGAAAGAGGGCTGGGTCCACCTTCTGCTCAGATCCCTCAACCCCCATGTCTGCCAACACCAGACCCTGTCCATAGAAGTAACCAATCCCACCAAGGAGGCCACTGAGGGCAGCCTGACCCAAAGCCTGCTCCTCAGGGCTCAGGCCCTTCTTCTTCAGCTGAAAGGTCTTCTCAAAGCGCTCTCTAAAGGCTTCAGCATGGCTCTCCAGGGCTTGGGTCAGCAGGCTGCCTGCCAGCCGTGCCAGGGCTTGGCTTCCTCCTGCCCGGGCACTGCCCGATTCAAACACCAACTCCACAGAAAAGGGGACTTTCAGTGTCACCTGTTGTATCAAGAATTGCCCCTGTCCCTGTCCTTGCCCACTTGGGCCTCTGTCCTCCCACTTCAGAGATCCTGGCAAGCCGAGGTAGCGTTCAGGGGAAGCCCCTGGAGGCCGATGCTGAAACCAGCTACTTAGACGACTCTTCACCATCTCTGTTAGCAAGGGAAGTCCTGGGTTGGAGGACCAGAAGACATTGTAGCTTGAAGGGAAGAAGATAAATAGGAAATATTACTCAGGAGAAAAAGATGGGGATTATAAAGAGAAATAAGAGGTGATCACGAGTCAAGATGGCAGGGTCTTGGCAATGCAGGGGAATTGGAGCCTGGTGAGAAGCAAAATAACTGGTGGAAAGAGGGTAGAGTCGGGGAGATAGAAATCAGGCTAATTCAGCATCCATACCACCCCTACCATCGCCCCACACTCTCTCCTCTGTTACCTGCTATACTTGGGGGCAGTATCCCCTGGATGGGTTGGTGGCATAAGTGTAAAGCGGAAGTCACCAAGTTCACTGGAATGCCCACTGATGAACTTCAACTGCCCTTTGGCCCCAACCTCTGGCACTAGGACTTCATTGCCATCTGTCACCACATAGAAGAACAGGGACACCAAAGGCAGGGCAGAGGTACCTGAGGCCTGGGTGACCAAGGAGGACAGAAAAACACAGAATTAGATTAGTATTCTCTCCTGAAAATCCAGCCTTACTCAAAGGAACCCCATGCAGGAGCAACATGGTAAACATACATCCGCAGTGTTGAGGGTCAACGAGGGTCAGTGACCCAGTGAGATGAGGTATAGAGATTTGCACAGTTCTCTGGGAAACAGAGTGTTTTTGTGTCGTGTACTAAGAACTCTACACATCATTTTCTTTTATTCCTACAATCCTCTGAGTAAAGTGCCGTTTGTATCTCCATTTTGCAGACACGGAAACCACGGCTTATGGAGTAAATAGAGATGGTCATACAGGCAAGTGTTTAAGGCAGGCAGCCAGATTCAGAGCCCCTGCTATCAACCTTCACAACATACTGAGTTTGCTGGCAGCAAAGAAAGGGTGGAGTGAGTATGGGCTGGGGAAAGGGTGTCCTGAGGCCCTGACCTGAGGCTCTACAGTCACTCTCCAGCTCCAGTCCCCTCCGTGCTGACCCCCAGGCCTCTTGACGAACTCAGTCGTGAGTCTTAGGGCCCCATCCTGGATGTGCTGCCGCCCGAAGGAGAGACCGTCGTGGAACTCCCAGCCATAGGGACCCACGCCGTCCCCCTGCTCACACGTGTGCCTGAGCTTAGGGGTCCCTGGGGTGGCGCCTTGCTGCGCCCACATCAGTCCTGGGGGTAGAATGGCCACGTAAGTCAAAGAGAGATCAGGGGACCTGTCCCTCTGGGTTTTCGAGAACTTCACTATAATCCCTCCTCATAACTCTTCTGAACCACCCCTCCCCACTCTTGCTCTGGCGTGAAGCTGGGGCGCCCGGATTAAGAGTCCGCCTGCATGCCCGCCCGCTCCGAGGCCCAGTTACCGGTGAGGAGGGGTTTCGGGCTGCGAGTCTTCATGCCGAAGTAGACGTGAGGGCGGTAGGTGCCCCAGAAGAGGTCCGGGGCCACGGCGGGGCTGGAAGAGTCGGGAGGCAGTGCTGGGGGCGCGGAGTGCAGTGTGACCGCCCGCCGCACACGGTGCCACGCCAGCAGCCAGCATCCTGACAGGCCCAGGGCCAGAGACAGGACCACGACGCCCAGAGCCGCTCTCCAGACAGAGCCACGGGCTCCGCCGCCCCGTCGTGCAGGGCCGCCCCGAGCCACCCTTTCAGCTATCCGCGCTCCTTCTGCCGGGGCTCCACGGCGCCGCCGCTCTCCCCGAGCCATCCTGGCACTGAGGTCGGCGTCGCGGAGTGCTCGGGCAGGTGGCAACGGAACCCGAGTCCTGTCTCGCCTCCCCGGCTTGCGCGCCGCGCCCGGGAGACCACAGATGTGTCACCCGCCCCTGCCGGTCCGCGCCTCCCGCTCCGCTTCCGCCTCCCGCCGGAAGTCCCGCCCCGCCACGTCAGATTAAGTCTCAAAGTCCGGAACCGCTGTCACCGGCAGTTGTTTAGGGCTAGCTATATCCTGGGTTAACGTTTCTTTGGCGCTTGGATTTCACGGGCTAGTAGATACAAGTAATCTCACGTTGGCTTTTTTGGTTTTGCTTTCCAAATGATTATTAAGAACCTGGGACGCCTTCCCGAGTGTTTGACATTTAGCCGCCCCAGTCAGGTGGCTGAAAACTGGCCTAGAAAATTCAAGTAAATTGGCCTCGGCCACAGAGCCAGGAAATGGCTAGCTTGGAGCCGAACTGTATCTATAATAGACTGGATCGGGGCGCCTGGGTGGCACAGTCGGTTAAGTATCCAACTTTGGCTTAGGTGATGACCTCCTGGATCGTGGGTTAGAACCCCCATCGGGCTCTGTGCTGATCTTTCAGAGCCTGGAGCCTGCTTTAGATTCAGTGTCTCCCTCTCTCTCTCTCTGCGCCTCCCCTACTCATGCTCTGTCTCTCTCCATCTCTCAAAAATGAATAAATGTTAAAAAAAAAATACATAAATAAAGACTGTATCATTTTGCCCATGCCTTCTTTCCAATTTAAATGGAGTGTGCCAGAGTGGACCCAAAAGGAAGCCTGAAATCTGTTCCAGCAGTCTTTAAGCAACCTGTAACTTTAGACAAATATATCCAGATATCCACTCAGTCCAGGATTCCTTATCTAGATGAACTCTAAAAGGACCAAAATGGTGGTGTATGCACTTCAAGAATGCATTTCCCCTCGTTTTCTACAAACCAGGAAGTGAAGGGTCTTAGGGGAAGGATAGCTTATATTCAGGTCAGGAAAGGCTGTAGGAAGGAGGCAACATTTCTAGGTGGCCTAGAAGAGTTAACATTACAATTGGTGGCTCAGAAAAGCAACTTAGATTCACAGTTAACTTGTGTCTCACCAACAGCTCAGCTTAAAAGGTGTTTTCAATAGGGGCACCTGGGTAGCTCAGTTGGTTAAGCTCCTGACATCAGCTCAGGTCATGATCTCAGGGTTCCTGGCTTAGAGCCGTGCGTCATGCTCTATGCTGACAGCTCAGAGCTTGGGAGTCTCCTTCCGATCCTAGGTCTCCTCTATGTCTCTCTCTCTGTTCCTCCCCTGCTCATTCTCTCTCTCTCAAAAATAAACATTAAAACATTTTTTAAAAAGGTATTTTCATAAAGTACAAGTCCCTATCATCCTTTAAAAAACCTTACTCAACATCATTATGCCACTTTAACTAGTATCACACCTCCCATCCAAATTCATTGTATAAAGCTAATACTTTATGCTATATATATTTTCTCTTTTGCTATAATCTGATATCTGACCCTACCCTCCACTGGTAGACTTTTTACTCTTACAAAAATCACCTTCTGACCAAACCCAATGGTCACTCCTGTCTTTATCTTCTTTGCTACCATTACATCTAATTCACATGTCTATTGTAGCACTTATTACATACCTGGATTTCATTATTCATCTTTGTATCCCAGTATTAATCAGTTACAGGCACAAGGTAGATGGTAAATATTTGTAAATGTGACAAATGTTAATTGCACGCTGTGTATCAGGCACTATGCAAAGTGCTAGGGACACAGAGAAAACAGCCCCAACCTCAGGTTCACAGTGCCAGCATTCAATCTATGTTTACAGCAATATCTGAAACACCCCCATTTTTACAGATGAGGAGAGCAGTAAAGTCTAGCCAGAGAGAAAAGCCAGCTAGCCGTCAAGTTGGGGGAACTCAAATCTAGGCTGTCAGTATACTTTTGGCTATAGCATAAGGCCTCTTAGGTAACACTCACACTCCTGGTAATGTTCTAGGCACTTAAAAATAGCAACTCATTTAATCTTCTCAACAGTCCTAGAATATATGTACCATTACCCCAATTTTACAAATGAGGAAACAGGCACTGAGAGACTAATTTTTCCACAATCACAGAACTACTTAAGGGCAAAGCTAAGATTTCAACCCCAGGAATCCTGGCTCTTTACTACCCCATACTGCCTCCCGGTAGGTTTCTGGTTTGTTTTTCAGTAGTTTCTTTTTTAAGGGGGGAGGGGAATAACAGCTCTTGAAGATAGTACCCTTTTAAGCAGAGAAGCAGTGTAGTAATGCTATAGCAAAGTATTTGGCAAAGTACACGGCAGCCAGTGTCTAGAGATCCTTGATTGTCTAAGCATTCTCAAGTTCTCTAAACCAGTACCATCAACCATTTTTTCCTACAACCCGTGGTAAGAAACAGTTCTATTCTGCAACCAAGTACCTGCAGATATGCACACATCAACATACTTCATGTTTTATATGTATATATTCATGATTATGCTGAAAGCTTAAATTTCTTAAAAGAGTGCTTCCCTTTCTGTGCCATGCACTCTGATATTTTTTATTCTATTTTACTTTGTTTCTGAAATGCTGATTTAACCCTCTAAATTGATTTCACGATCCATACTAACGAGTTGGTAACCCAGTATGAAAAACACATCAGGCACAGTGTGAAACAAGTAGCAGGAAGACATAAAAACAGCGACCAGCTTTGAAAGACAAAATTAAGCAGCAGCAAAATGGTCAGAAAAAATGGAGATTGGGTGGGATAATACAATGATACAGGAAAGTGAATGGGAACGGAGAAAACACTTCAGAAGCTTTTGTTTAAAAAAGAATATTCTGAATTTATTGACTAGATATGCAGGGAAAGAGAGAGGGCAGAAGCAGAGGCAATGCTGTGGTTTCCAGCCCAGGTTGCTGAGGAGATAAAGCAGATGAAGGAATGGGGAAGTCAGGGGAAGAGGCAAGTATATGTGTATGTAAGATTATCAATGCTATTTTGGACAAAGGAGTGTGGGTGGGGTTTGGAGGAAACTGCTAGTAAGGAACCTGACAATAGCACAGTAGTTGAGATTAGAGCCAAACAGAAATGTAGGATTTAACCCCAGAGTTCAAGTTATGACAGAATGAAATGCTCAGAAATAGACACAAAAATGAAGGATGAAAGAAGCACAGTTTTATGGTTAAAAGAAAAAAAGACCCACGAGGAAGGGAACTTCCACAAGGGAGCAAATTAAAAGCGGCGGATCCTACTGAGATGGAAATATGAGGACCGAGAAAAACAGCACTGGATTTGGCTAATAAGAGCAATAGGCACCTTGAGTGAGTGGTGGGAAAAGCCAAATTCAAAAGGGTTCAGCAGGGAGTGATGGTAAGAAAATGAAATCAATTCAAGTTTGTGCAGACCCCTCTCTCATCGTGTCTCTTTTCAGAAACGCTGGTTGGATCAGTAGTCCCAGGGCTCGCTCTTTTTTTCTTTCCGGCGCTCCGTGGCCCTCCAGACTGTGATTCGAGTGATGAAGTCTCTCAAACTCTTAGGTAAGCGTCCTAGCAATCCCAAGCTAAAATCGGCTTGTTGATCTCTTCTGCACTGTCAGCGCCCGGTACCAGCGCCTGGCTTCTCCCCGCTGCTCGCCGCAGCCCTAGTCTGGATGTGGGAGGCAAAGGCTGTGAGCATTTCCTGGGCGGTGAGGTGGGTGCCGCGCATAATCAGGCGATGCCCGTCTCCTGGGGAAGAAAAAAAAAAGAGTCAGACACGGCGACGGCGGCGGGGCCCCGGACTGAGGGCGCGCGGGCTGCCTGGAGCCCCTTCCGCCCGCCTCCCCACCCCAGCCCACCGAACAGCACGTCCACGCAGGGCTCGGAGCCGTCGTGCCTCACGTCCACAATCACCGAGCAGTTGAGGTTGGTGGAACGGACCTTCTCGCTGCTCACCGCCTGGAGGAAGGTCCTGCGGTCGGAAAACAGCTTGAACGCCCGGCCGAGAGGGCTAGACCCCCTAGACCCCCAGCGCGAGGAAGGCGCGCCCCTTCCCGTCCCCATTTCCTTCTTCCTCGTACCTCGTCGACTCTACATTCTTCTCGAAGGGGCAGAATTGAACCCGAACCTGCTTCACAGACCGGAGCCCGAGCCGAGCCAAGGAGGCCGCCATGGTGACCTTCGCACCGGAAGGCCTCGTGCGGGCGGAAGTGTCCGTTACCGCTGCGCTCCCCTCCCTGCTCCCGGCCTCTTGAGGGTGCGGTACTCTGATTCTACAGTTCCTGAGCTAGCGTTCCCTGGGCTCCCCACCCCGAGTGGAGGAAGAAGGCCCCCGGTTAGGGAGGTGGTTTCAACCCAGGGTCTGGAGGTCCCCAAAGTAACCGTTCAGTAAATACCTATCATTAATAGTCCTCTTGTACTACGGTGAAGACAATAAATAAATAGCGCAAAAGCCTTGCACTTGGCTCTGATAATACGTCCATCTTCTGTGGCCTTTCCCTTTCCTTACGTTGCTGTGCCATCTCAAGCGCTGGCCCCTTCGGTGAGGATACTGCCATGGCAGGGATTATACAGCTACCAGGGGGGTAAACCCTACTCAGGTAACTGAAGATCAAACACGTTGAACTCTGAGTAACCAAAGTTTAAACGTGAAGGTCCTTTAGCCTAATATTCTTAAGTGACTTCAAACAGTAACAAGACAGGGAGCATAGGGTAATACACCTCTTGGGACTGATCCAAATGTAGAAATGCCTATTCCACCTCTGTGGTTCCTGATGAACTGTGTGTTTAGCGTGGCTCCTAGGACTTAAGAGGAAGTAGCATCTAGGCTCTCTGCTTTCTATCATTTTTTCCCTTTCCCTTTCCCCAGGGATCCAGCTCCATAGCCCTTTTTCTAGGGCCTAGCCCTGAGATGTCTTCACTGTTGGGGAACTAGGCCCAAGCCTCCCAAGGATGCTAACCTCCAGGTTCCAGGCTGTGGTGTTTGGCCCTTTACTCTGGATTCCAGGCATTGGAGTGTCTTGGATTCTTAGCTTTTAAGTCCAGGCTCTCTGGAGCTTGTGTTTCTCAGGTATCCTTTCTTCCAAGCTCCCAATTGTAGGCTTCTTTAATATACACAGAAATACCTGGGCTTTCCCAGCCAGAGATGGGGAGCTCTGACTTTGTGGCTCCTGGTCCCAGGCTTCTCAGGATTCAGGACTGGTCCCCAGGCAGGAAAGAAAAGGCAAGTGCCAACGGGGACGCTGGTGCTGCCTCAGGGCAAGCCAGGCCTGCTGATTTCCCACCAGGTAAGCCTCCGGGCTAGGTCCCCCTCCCCATAGTGTGCTTAGCAGCTGAGCTGTCTGGGCTGGGGGTGCTCCAGGCCGAATAGGGGGCTCCAAGCTCTCCAGGCTGTTGAGGCTGCTGCTGGGCAATTCCATGGTCTGGACCTCACTGCATGTACCTAGTAAGGCAGGAATGGAAGACAGGCAGTGGGGAGGAGGAGAGGTATGACTACCCTTGACAACTATATGAGGTCAGTGATGAGGATGGGGGATGGGGCACATAAAGTGGCAAGGCCAGGTCAAAGAGAGCCTGGAGTTGGTTAAGAGTGACTCACAGCAACAGGGAGGCCTCCTGTGGACTTCAGGCTTGGGCAGAGGCTGCTGGAATAGACACAGCAGGGCCCCATCCAGTTTCTGGAAGATGTTGAGTGTGAGCAGAGTCTGACGAAGTTCCGGGGACAAGCCCCACTGCTCCTCCTCCAGCAACTCCCGAACCACTCCAAAGTCTTGTCTGAGCTGCAGCGCCCCCTGCAGGCTGAAGGCCAAAGTACAATGTGGCCACCTGCCTCTCTAACTGCTCTGCCCCACCTATACCCCCTCCCTTTTTCCAGTTCCATCCAGCCCTCTGCCACTGCCTCCTTTTCTCCCCACCTGAACCGGATCTTGTGCATGAGGATGTAGTCAAGCCAGGCACCCAGGATGGCTGTCAGTGCCTGACCAAGGACAGGGTCCTGGGCTTGGGGCGGCAATCCCTGCAATCCTTGCAGCACAGGCTCCAGTACAGTGCGAACCACCAACTTAGCATACTCACTGGGAATGCTGGGCAGTTCTGGAGTGGAAGAAGAGAAAGTACAGGATATGAGACCATGTAGATCTGTTGAGCTCTTAAGGGAATATTCAGGGGAAGATGGTAGGATTTGTGGGACACAGAAGGCGAGGACAAGGATGGAGACAGAGAAGTGGAGCCAGGATCTGGAGGAGTCAGGCCACTATTACCCCCTGGGAACTCTGGAAGGGGATGCTGGGAAGAGGAGTTACCAGGAGAGAGACGATGCCTCCAGTACCGGCCCCGTGGCATGTAGAGTTCAAAGCCCTGTGTGGCTTGTTTATGACATTCTTGAAAAAAGAGCCTTAGTGACTCCTCAGGCAGGAGCTGTGGAGATATGGAGAAAGTAAAAGGGGGTTCTCTGTTGGGGGATTGCCAAATTACGATGCTCTTCTAAACCTGAGGTGTTTAACCTGGCTTCCATAAAGGCCCAGAACAGAATTGTATGCATAATTCTATGGGCTTGGGCAATTATGAGGAGAGATGCCCTAACTTTATTGGGTTTTCCTAAAGGCCTGGACCCAGGAAAGATGATAGACAATTGCCATAGGGTTACCCTGCTCTTCTCAGCGTGGTTCAGAGTCTGGAAATCCTCCAGGTTAATTCTACTCTACAGGAAAATTAATAGGAAAAAAGGGGGAGATACCCTCACCACTACCAATGTTTAAAAGCAAATGTTAGAGACGGGTCTGTGTGATCTACAGACAGGCAGAGGCATGAAGAAAGAAAGGGGGAACTGTATGATATTCCACCATCTATGAAAGGAAGTCAGGAACTATATGCAGATCAGGAGCAAGCACTGTAACTTTCTGAGATTCAGGACATTTTGGAATGTCCTTAAACTGAATATTTTTTACACCCTACTTCCATTTCTTCAGAGTAGTGTAACCCATAAAGCAAAAACGGCCCATGTGCTGGTTTGATTTCTGTACCTTGACAGGTTATGTTTTTGGAATGGGAGAGGGCAGCAAGAAAGAAGGGTCTTGGGGTGCCTGGGTGGCTCAGTCGGTTAAATGTCTGACTCTTTGTTTCAGCTCAGGTCATGATCTCACTGTTCTTGAGTTCGAGCCTCCAGTCAGGCTCCATGCTGACAGCATGGGATTCTCTCTCTGTCTCTGCCCCTCCCCCACTTGCTCTGTCTTTCTCAAAGAAAATAAACTAAAAAAAAAAAAAAAAAAAGGTAGTTTATACAGCCCATTTTGGAGGAGAGGAACTCCAAGAAATGGGGGAAATAGGGTATGTGGCTCTATAAAGAAAAGGTAACTGGGTGCTTGTAAGGCTGAAGAGAGGAAGGGGCCTGGGGACTAGACTTGGGGGAAGTAGAGCCCATGTGGCTTCTAGTACATATCCTGACAAAAGCCTATCCTAAATCCAAATTCTTGCTCTCTTCTGAAAACCAAAACCCCTTCTTCCTTATTCATACCAAGGAAACTACCCTATTGTCAACTGACATTTGTTAGGAATCTTTCTGCACTCAACACTCTGAGGAAACACAAGGTCACACTATGAAATAGTCTTTCTGTCTGGGACATTAGAGTCTGGGTGGGGAGAAAACTCACAATGTCTGATTCTTCTTTTCCATCCCAGTGCCATATGCAGTGGAATACCCAGAGCAGATACCCAACAGTGCCATCACCAGGCACAGGGACAAGGCATGCAGAGTCCTTTGCACAATGGTTAGTTCACACAGTAAGCACACTGTCCCTGTTCTCACAACTACCAAGAGCTGAACTCCTTTTTTTATGTCTCCTCATGCACCTCTGGACAAAAGTGTGTGTGTGCCTGAAAATGCATGCATGCACACATGTGCACACACACATATACACAAAGGAAGCTTCTGCTTTGGTCAGGCCATCTCCCCACTACTCCCCCAAGGAACTATGGACTGCCCACCCCCACCTCCAGCAACCCTTCCCCTGGGGAAGCGGTACACAGGTTCAAGGCATGTGGTAAGCAGGAATGCAGAGAGAGGGGTGTCTGGGTGGCTCAGTCAGTTAAGCATCCGACTTCAGCTCAGGTCATAATCTCACAGCTTATGAGTTTGAGTCCTGTATAAGGGCTCTGTGCTGACAGCTTAGAGCCTGGAGCCTGCTTTGGATTCTGTGTCTCCCTCTCTTTCTGCCCCTCCCCTGCTCATGCTCTGTCTCACTCCCTCTCCCAAAAATAAACTTTTAAAAGAATTAAAAAAAAAAAAAAAAAAGGAACGCAGAGAGGAAAGGAGCAGAGGAGCAGAGGGACAAAGCCTGAACTCTGTAGCCACGCCCCTATTTAGGGCAGAGTAATTTAGAGCAGAGGGGAAACTTGGGCAGGAAGAGAAAACAAAAAAACAGAGAAACATCTTCCATAGTAGGAACAGATACTGGGCAAAATGGGGAAAAATTAAAATAGAAGTATAATAATTTTATGCATAAGTTTAGAAGAAAATAAAATACTAGAAGATAGACAAGTGTGGTTAAAGGTTACCACCGTGGAACAGGGATCAGAGGTGAGGTAGGGGGCAGTTAAAGCACTATATTATTCTAAAATAATATTCTATTTCACCTTTAGTTTTTAAAATTTCTTTTAATTTTGAGAGAGACAGAGTGTGAGCGCAAGGTGGGGAGAGGGGCAAAGGGAGTGAGAGAATCTCAAGCAGGCTCCACACTCTTGAGATCATGCCCTGATCCGAAGTCAAGAGTCAGATGCTCCACCAACTTAGCCACCCAGGTGCCACTATTCTATTTCACTTTTTAAACTATGGACATGTATTATTTCTTAAAAATATAAGCTATACATTTAGAAACGAGGAACATCATATCAAAGCTAGTGACTAAAAGGAAAGATTCAATCATTTATCTTGCTTTTTCTCTATAAAATATACTTCAGAGTAACCAAGTGATTAACGAAGGCAAATTTCACTTTATAGGAATAATTCAATGAATAAATGAAGAAGAAATGATAGACTTGGAATATCACTACTTTGCACCCTTTAAGGAAAAAATGGATCTAGGCAGTAATCATTAGTGGCTGTTAATGTCCCAAAATGAGAGCCTCACATACAGAGGTAACAGAATTGACCAAGAGGTGATAACTGTTAAAGCCTCAGTGGTAGGAATATGGAGGTCCATTATACACTTCTATTTGTGTATATGTTTGAAGTTTTCCATAATAACAAGGTAAGGAAAGAAGAACAAAAAATGAACAGAGCAGGAAAAGATAAATCCAGCAGAGACTCCATGGGGATTCCCAAGTCCCTGGGATGTTCTACCGCAATTACCACCCCCATCATCCTAACCCCCAAAGCTGGGCACAGAACAACAGACTCTTAAACTGCCACTGCCAGGGCCCCTGCTTTTCTCACCTGGATCTGTGTGGCTAGCTTCTGGATCTCCAGGCCCAGCTGCTGCTCCACCTCCAGGGACAAGCTTTCTTCTGAGGCCAGTCTAGACAGAGCTGCTGCCTCGTGCAGTAGAGGCTTTGCCAGAAACGGGAAGTGAGATTTTAACCCAGCCAAGGCTGCTCTCCTGCCCACTCCCCAGCTACTTACAGGTAAGTCCTTCTGGATCAGGAGCAGGAAAGAATCTGGGGCCCACGCTGCCAGATGCTGCTGAGTTCTACCCAAAAACCAGAGCAAGGTGGTCTGCAGGGTACAGAGCCCTAGAGCAAGGGGTGCAGGATCTGGGGAGAGGAGGATGGAGCATCTGAGGAGGCGGGCTTCAGAACCGAGTGAAGGAATAAAGGGGGTATCTTCAACCATTCTGCTCCTCCATCCCCAGCACCTTGTCTCACCTGGAGGCTTACAGAGGAGCAGACCTGACCTGGGTTGCCCAAGGGCATCCAAGAGAGGAGGGAAGAGCTGTTGCAAAAGTTCAGAGGTATGAGAGGATGAGGCACGGCTGCTCTGATCTTGGCCAGCAGATCCCAAGGCCTGACAGAAGCCTGCGGATGAGGGGTATGGTCTGATGAGGAAGGGGCAATCTGGGGCTGTGTCACTCCCAATGCCCCTTCCTTCTCACCTTGGTCCCAGTTCCAGATAAGAGACTGATGAAATAGGTTGCGACACAAAGAAGCCAGCTCCTTCTCACACTCCTGAGGCAGGGATGCTAGTGGGAGAAATGACTTGGAGCCTGAAAAGAAGGCCTCCCTTTTCCAGAACCACTGCCCATTCAGTGATGGGGAAAAGGGGAGGCTTCCACTGAGACTCAAGACTTGAGTGGAAAGCAGATTTTACCCTGAAAGCCCAGATGCTCTTGGCTGATTGGTGGGGAGGAGGGGGTGGGGTGGGAGTGTTCATTCTAAAGGGCCTGCTTTTGCAGTCTAGTTGGCAGGGGAGTGGGGTGGCTAGGGAGAAGAAAGAGACCCCTGTCTTCTAAATGCCCACCCAGGCCCATCACTCACCCTGACCTAGTGCCTGACTCAGCTGTTGTGCAGCTGCCCTGCGGTCCCTCCAGGGTCCTAGACTTAGGTTCAGACTCTGAGCACAAGCTGCCCACAGCAGGGTCCAGTACTGGCTCCACAGGGCTCCAGCCCCTCCAAGCCCCGGTCCACTGCCGGCTGAATCAGTCGCGCCTCCCAGCAGCCCCAGCAGCCTGGGCAGCAGCTCCCGCTCCTCCTGGCACCGACTTCGGAGGTGGTCCAGCAAGCCCGACCCCCTGAGGGCCTCATCTAGCTGACCAGCCACCAGGCAACCCCGCTCCCCCGTTAGGAGGTGGAGGACACGGAGGGGTGGGAAAGGGCGCGCTGCCCCCGGGATTTGGCTCAAGGCTTTTCCCAGCAGCTGGTGGTAGGCGGGGAGTGCCAAGAGCACGTCAGCAAGTTGGGACGACAGGCCCGGGCTGGCAGGCTCCCGACCCAGAGCCCGAAGCTGCATCTCGATGGCAGCATCCAGGCGCTGAGCGGCCAGCCCAACCGGGCGCGCCAGGAGTAGCGGCTCGGGAGTCTCGCGTAGGCCGATTCGCAGGACAGCCCCACGGGAAGGGTGCAGCAGCAGGTCGCGGCACAGCTGAGGCAAGGTGCTGGAGCTAGGGGCCGGCGCGCCGGGACTCAGGGTCCTCAGGAGGCGCACGGCCGTCTGTAGGTTGCAGGCGCAGTCCCGGGCTTGAAGGAGCTGCTCCCGCTCGCGATGCAGTCGCAGCAACACGGCCCGGAGACGCTGCAGGGCGGGAGGGATGGGGCGGCCGGCTGCCGACTCCCCCCACCAGTAAGCGGCCCCGGCCTCCTGGTGCTCTCCAGCGTCTGCAGGCGCCGGCGCAGCCCACCACGGCTGCGCTCCCCGAGCTCCGCCGGGCGGTGGGTCCAGGCAGGGAACGCTCCCGGCAACCGGCAGCCGCAGCCAGCCACGAAAGTCCCCGCGGAGAGCGCGCGCCTGCCTTCTCTCCCACTGCTCCTCCACAGCGCCTTCGGGTTGTGCCCCAAACGGCGGCACGGTAGCGAGCGGAGGCAGAAGGCCAGCAGAGCGAGACGCCTGGGCCATGGGACGCCGACTCCGGAGTGAATCTAACGATTCCCACTTGCTCGCACCGCCCAGCGCCCGCTGCCGCCGGGACTCCGCCCAGTCCCTGGAGCCGTCATTTCTAGCCCGGGAACCTCCTGGCCCGTCTTGAACTCTCTCGCGCTCCGTAATCGGAGGCTTCTGCCCCTAACAAAGATGGCAGCTTACTCTGTCCTACTCCGCCCTTCGGCGGCTATCAAGTACCAGATCATCTTTCACTTTCGTGTTACTGTTGTCGGGAGATGGCGCCGATTCCGAAGACTGTGGGGCGGATAAAGCTAGGTAAGCAGGTGTGACAAGAGACGAGAGGGTCCAGGAGGGTAGAGACAGCCCCACTTGGGTCTGTTTTCAGTCGGGTCTTGTGCTTCACGCGGTGGGCGGAGGGGAGCTTCGACCCGTCCAACCGGAGCACTGTGACGCGCCGTTGGCCTTCCTTTACTATAGACTGTCCTCTGCGGCCTGGCTGCCCGCTGGAGGTCGCTGCTGTCCCCAAACTCTGCAAGGAATTCGGTCCTGAGGACTACGGCGCAGAGGTAAAAGGGACTCCTCGCTCCCCTTCGTCCGGTTTATCTTGGTCACGCCTCTTTCCAGCCAGCTGAGCTGAGCCCCGCCGCTGCCGGGCGCTGCCCGGCCTCCGATGGCTCCGTCGAGGCGTAGTCTCCGGCCCGGGCCTGAAGCAGCGCGTGGCAAATGGAGGGCGTGGGGCCCCGGGGTCCGCGCTGCCCAGATAAATGCTGGAAGTGGGTGGGATTGAGTTGACGATGGTTTCTGAGTTGAGGATTGGGGAAGTGAGTGACAGTTCCTTAGGATAAGGTATTCTGAGCAGAGGGAACAGTGTGAGCAAAGACGCCAAGGCAGGGTAAAGTTTAGGGAACTTAACCGAAGTGAGACTTGAGTAATTGGGTTGGATCCGTAAGAGATGAAGTGGCAAAGAAGGAAGTGAGAGGCTTGAAAGGCTTTGTCTGGCACAGGGGCTTGCATGTTCTCAAGTAGGTGATAGGGTTATTGAGGGAAGGGCAGGATCGGATTTAGAGCCCTGAGAAGCTGTGTTTCCTACTGCTTCCTGGGGATCTCCAAAACCTCAAACTCAACAAGTCCAGAAGTTAACTCATCATCTTTGCAAATTGGTTGCTTTTCCTCTAATCTTAGTTTTGGTTAGCAACACAAACTGACTTCCGGTTGCTTAAAGCAGAAATCTGAGAATCATTGTACATAATCCTCCCTTTCCTTTACCTCATACATTTAATCGCTAAAATAACACTTCAGAAGTGTCTCTTGACTCAAGCCCATCGTTTCCATTCCTGCTTCCACTGCCATGGCCTTAGTTCAAGAACTCATTCTCTCTGGCCTGAACAGTCATAATGGCCTGCTAATTAAACATTCCACCCCTAGACTCGTCTTCCCCAGTGCTGTTCCACTTGAGCGCTCCACTCCCCTCACTGACAAGAGGAAGTACAACCTCACTGACTCACACAGGGTTCTTCAGACCCAGTTCCTGACTACATCTTTATTAGAATAGTCTCCTCACCAGTCTCTCTGCTTTTGCTCATTCAGCACACATATTAAATACCAGCTATATACCAGGCACTGTTTTAGGCACTGGGAAGACAGCAGTAAGCCAAACAGACAAAAATCTTTTTGTTGTTGTTGTTGTTTTTTTTTTTTTTTTGTCTGTGGAGGCATCTAGTGGAGGCATCAAGTGGAGGCAACCAATCAACAAACAAACAATATAGTTTGCCAAATATGAAAAGTGCAAAGAAAAGTAAAGCAGGAAGGACAGGGAGTGCTGAGTGGAATTGAGAACTTCTCTTCTTAAAAGAAGTGGTCAGAGAAGGCCTCCTGGAGAAGGTTTAAGAAGAGATCTGAAGGGTGAGCATTCACTGGGGAAAGAGCATTCCAGGGAGAGGAAGTAACAAGTAAACTACTGAGATGAAAGCACACTTGTTGTGTCGTAGGAACTTCAGAGGATACCACTAACTACTGTAGGTAGAGGTAGGACAAGAGGGTAGGGAGATGATTTATGGAGGACCGATTAGCTAGACCATGTTCAGCAATGTGGTGAATTACAAGAGTAGCGTAGACTGTGCTTTGGGGAGAGGTAGGAGGTCAAGGTAATCCTTTTTTGTTTTTAAAAAAGTCTATACTGGGCCAGCTAGGAAGTTGAAAGAAGCCCACCAGGATACTGAATTCGAGAATAAGTCTTTATAAAAGTGCACAGCTGTGTAAATGAAGATGCTGTTGGGTCAGGACGATATCTCGATGGAAACCCTGGCTCTAAAACTGCTTAAAAAGTTGACTCTACCTCAGTGATCTGAAGTCCTTCCGATGCATCAGTTTAGCGCTTTGGAGTTTCATGTGGCGTCTAAGTTTCTCAGTCAGTGGGCCACCACCTAGTCAGGGATGTGCTCTGTTTAGGCCTGATTAGGCCACACAGGAACAAGATGACTCCTCTCCTCCTCTAAAGCTGACACTAATTGGGGAAATGATTCTCATAAGAACCACAGAACGTAACGGGCTAGGTCTTGAAGAGTCTTGTCTCTTCTTGTGAATGATGAAGCCAAGGTTCAGAGAGGTTAAACAATTTGTCCAAAATGAAACAGCCAGGCAATGGCAGAGCCAGAATTAAGATCAAACAGCTTCATTTCACAACAGTGTTCTTTCCAGTTCCATGCTTCTTGCCAATTGAGAGAGCGATAAAAAGCAGTGAATAATATGGCTCTAAATTGTGTAACACAGAGCATGTGAGTACAGCTTCATTGAGGGCAGAGGTTATTGGAGATGAAGAGGTCTGGAAAGGATCTGAGGGAAGATGGAATTTGAACTGGACCTTGAAGGTGAGACAAGATGTGATGAGAAGCTCAGAGCCAGGATTAGGGGACAGTTGTAGGGGAAGGGGGGAAGATCCTGGAAGGGACCTGACAGCATAGGGATGAAAGCAGCCAAGCAGAGAATTACAAAGGAAGTTTGGGAAGGTCAGCCACGGAGTGTTTTGGAAAGCTCCAAATCTCAGGCTGAGGAGCTAGACTCAGTCCCACCTATGGCCTTGGCAGTGGGAGATTACTGGAAGTTGGTTGCTAAGTAGGGAAGTTACTGCTGAGAGCTTGGTTTGGGAGGAAACAGCTGAAGTGCAGGGGAGAGGCCAGCCAGGAACTGCTGCTCTCATTTAGGAATGCGGTAGCTCCTGAGTAGGTTATATGGGGTTGCTCATTTTCAGGGATATGACAAGGAACATAGTTGGAAGAGCAGGTAAACAGAGGAGGGCTCTGTTTCTGAGGCTTCAGTGCGGCTGACCTAGTGGTAGGTCAAGGAGAGGAGATCTTGTAGGATGGAGAAGGTCGGACAGAAAGGCTGCTCGGAACCCTTGGGAAGCAGGAGAGTAGCGAAGGAGGTGATTCACCAGGAAAACCAGAGCAGTGTGTCTTAAGGTGCTGAGTGGGGAGAGGCCAGCCAGTAAGGTTCTCCAGGCTGGGTGGGTGGTTTGTGGTTCTCTCCCAGAGCTCCCTCCAACACCAGCCTCCCCTCTCTTCCCCTCCCAGGACATAGTGGATTTTCTTCGAAGGCTTGTGGAGAGTGATCCCCAGGGCCTACACCGGATCCATGTGGATGGGAGCAGTGGGCGGCTGCAGCTGTGGCACCATGGTAGCGTGCAGGGGCCGGGCCCAGGGATCGAGGCTGGTACCCTGGGGAGGGCTGGCCCTCAGATACTCCTCTCTCTCACATTCCTCTATCTTTCCCTTCTTATCTCTCCTGACAGATTACCTCCTGGACCATTTCTGTGATGAGGCTAAAACGCCTGGACAGAGTGACAGAGACAAAGGGGCCGAGGGGCCGGGCACCTACTGTGGTCTCCGAAAGTCCTTCCTGTATCCTCCCCAAGGGTCTGAGCCCTGTGACCCCTGCCCTCATAGCCCCTCTGCCTCTGCGTCTGCCTCTGGTGGCTCAGACAGCCTGCTTGAGGTGGCCATGCCCCAGAAGCTCCTGCTGACTGAAGAGGTGAGACTATCAACAAGGGGCTTCACCTCCCCCAGGGCTCCTCCAACTGCCTTATTCCCATATCTGTATTCTCCCCTAATTTGGACCTTTCAAGGCCCTTCCATACTGCTGGCCTCCCTTTGGCTTTCTGGTTCTCTCTCTCTTTTCCTGTCACCTGCCTTTCCTTCTCCAGGAAGCCAACCACCTGGCTGAGGAGCTGGTGGCTGAGGAGGAGCGCATGAAACAGAAAGCAGAGAAGAAACGACTCAAGAAGAAGGTGGCTGGAGGCAGGAGTGGGAACCTGGAGGGATTTCAGAGAGGGAAGGAGGGAAGTTTTATGAGAACAGGGAAGAACTCAAGGAGGTCTGTAGTGGACCCTCTTGCCAGTGGGGGGCTCCGGGGCCTCAGAGCCCAGAGGTGGAAGGTCTTGTGGAAGCCCTACGGTGTGGTGGTCCTGGAGTCACACTATACTGCCTGGGTTGGAATCTGCCTCTTTCTTACTGTAAGACCTCTGCCTGGTGACTCTCCTGTCTGCTTGTTCACCTGTAAAATGAGGATGACACAAAACCTACCTCATTGGAGTTGCAGGGATTAGATGAGATAGTGTATGCAAAGCTCTTAACCGGGTACACATCATATAATCTATATTGTACACGTGAAGAATTGGTTTCAAGATACAAAGTGTGTGTGTGTGTGTATTGACATAGAACGTTCAAATAATACACCATCAGCGTCATCACATCATCATTATCATTGCAGCGTCAAAAGGATCGCAGGCGACAGGAGCGCTTGGAGCAGGAGGGTGGGGACCCCAAGGTGAGTGTCTGCAGGCGGGTCTGAGGAGCACTCAGTGCCAGGAGGGTGGGAGCTGAGAAGGCAGGCGGCTCAGGGTGATCCCTGTCTGCATTCCCTTTAGGTCAAGGCCACCCCCGATGGAGACGGGAGCCCCCCATCTAGCCCTGGGAACCCTGCCCAGGGACAGTGTGGTGAGGAAGAGGTGAGAGCCCTCTTCCTTCCCT